ATACAGTGGGGTCTTGACTTGAGAACTTAATCCGTATTGGAAGGCGGTTCTCAAGTCAAAAAGTTCTCAGGTCAAATCTGCATTTCCCATAGGAATGCATTGAAAACCATTTGATCCGTATCTGCTCTTTTCCGTCCATAGAAACTAATGGGAAGCTGCTATTCTGCCTTCGACCACTAGAGGGGGATATTTTGTTTCTTTTTTTTTCTTAGGTCAAGAAAGGTTCAGGGAAGGCAGGGAAAATACAGTCCAGGCAGGACAGTACCAGGCAGTCTGAAGACTGTCTCCCAATCCACTCTCTAAACGCTGGGAGGAGTGAGGAAGCAGACAGGCACCCTTTTCACTGGCCAACAGTTAACTGAAAGTTCACATTTTGCACTTTCCCTGCCTCCCACGTGGGTTTTTTTCAGTTCTTAACTCAAATCTAAGTACTTAAGTCAAGTCAATATTTTCCTATGAGAGTGGTTCTTAAGTCAAAATGTTCTTAACTCAAGCCGTTCTTAAGTCAAGACCCCACTGTAATTAAATGGCGTTCCAGCAAAAATTAAAATTGGTATCGAAAGTCTTGGAAACAAATATCCTAGAATGCTGTGAGGTTGTGGTGGTATATTCATGAGGTCACAGCGTCTGGCAGATAGTAGCAAAAGTGGAATGCTGTTCCTGTCATCTTTTGGGGGAACAGTTTTTATTTATCTCATTACTAGAGGTCAGTCCATCTGCAGAGAGAGGTGTATCTCAGGTGCATGCCCTTGCTGTTTCTCTTGCAGGAAGGGCAAGGGAGACCTTGTTGGCATTTCCTGAAATGAAGGTGCACCACTTCTGTAGGTTTTTTGCAACTCTTTTTTTTAATATGGAGCAAACTAGAACTGCATATGAAGATTTGCTTATTTATTCAGAATACGATATCCAAAGCACAGCTGGTGACACCCTTGTATATATTTCTGCAGCTGCTAATCAAGTTTAAAATGTGGGTGAGGTTGGACTCTTGATAGGTGTGCACTACGGCAACCTGTGCTCACATCTGCAGAGTTCAGTGCAGCTTTCTCTGATGTTCATGTGAGCAAGTGACCTGATTCTAATGTCACTTTGATTGTGCTATGTAGAAAACTGAGCTGGAGACCGAGACTTCTCCGTCTTTCTTATTCCAGGGGCCATCGTGTGTTGCTGTTTTCCCAGATGACCCAAATGCTGGATATTCTGCAGGATTACATGGATTACAGAGGTAAATGTCCCAAGTTCTTGATGTAGCTGCTTTTATTGTCCGAGACCCCTATCATGGGTGCAGAAGGGCCCGTCAGCTGGTCCTTTGTGTAGCAGAGATGGGCAGCTCTGTCCCTTTCTTGCCTGCATCTCTTGCAGCCCACGTTAAAAGGCTGTTGGTAGTTGTAAATAGAAAGCATCAGGAGGGCCCTGGCCTCTGATCTCTGCTTCACAGAGGGTGGCCAGTGCTGCATGTGCCAAATCTGTATCAATTAGCATTCTCAGACTGCAAGCCTCCTCTTCCAAGGGGACATCAACCCTGTCCAGAACAGGATCATCCAGGATGCTATGACCACTCTGACATCACCATCAGATTGAGAGTCTTATTTGCAAGTCTGTGCCCTGGAGGTAAAGGAAATACACAGCTACATTTCACTCATATTTTGATGATGTAGCGCTCCAGGTGAAGAGGTCTTTCTCACTTGTTTCATATTTTTAAAAGTATTGGGAGTATTATAGCATAAGCTTTTGTGGAGCTGAGCAACCATTCCCCACATCCCTCCTGAAACCAAACTATTGGTCAGGAACAAAAAAAACCTAGAATGTAGTCTTCCTGATAGCTTGTCAAGAAGCATCGTAGGCTACTGGGAGGTCTTGGAGACAAGGAGATCCATGCATTTGCTTGATTTGGATGCTGCATCAGTTCCCAGAGATCCCCCCCCAAAAAAAATCTTTCCACAAGGGGGCTGTGGCAGCTCCAAGCAGGAGAGCATCAACGGATCTGGCCAGGTTGTGGCATTCAGGATACAGGGTCGTTATGCCCTAGGTCTTAGCAGATTCACATGTATCTCTCCAAGTAAGCCTTCTGGATAGTAGTATCTGCCCTTTTGGTCATTGAGAGCATCTTCTCTGAATAGCCAGAATATATCAGCCACTGCCATCAGGCATTGTCCTCTAAATTTGGAGTCCTGGGTCCTTTGAAAACAGAGTTTTTAGCTCCAAGCTAAGTACTGAAAACATTTAAAAAGAGTGGCATTGTAAGCTGTACTGATAACATTCTGTAACAGTCAGGGAGAACCGTGTTGTACACACAATTTCACCTTCATCTTCCATAGTGTCTCCCCAATAGGCCTATGAACTTTTTTTAACCTTTTGTTTCCATGCTAGGC